GTTGCATAGTACTCAGAGTGACAACATCTGTGGAAAGAATCACTAGAGAAGCTCAATATAACCAGTGAAAACCAGGCCAGGGGCTGACTGTGGAACAGATCATCAATTACTCATATGCAAATTCAAACTGAAGCTAAAGAAAATAAAAACAAGTCCACAAGAACCAAGATATGGCCTCGAGGCTGACCCATCTGAATGAAAAACTCATCACCAGAATTGGTTTGAGGCATTGTACTCTAATGATTAAAGACAATTATGTGATGAAATCAAAGATTTCATTCATGAGGAGAGCAAAATGTCATTAAAATCACTGAAAAGGGGGGGGGGAAGACCAAAATTGCAATAGCCCATTGAGTCACCAAAACAAAGGGAGAAAATGCTTAAGTAAAAGAACTAAACAGAAGATTTCAAAGGGCGACTCAAGAAGACAATGCCAGGTATTATGGCAAAACATCCAAAGATCTGGAGCTGGAGAATACAAAGGGAAGTACTCACTCACTTATAAGTACTCACTTATCCAGCTGCAAGAACTGAGAAATGAATTCAAGCCTCTTGCAATACTGAGAGATGCTATGGGGTGAATCTTGAATGGCCCTGGAATCATCAAAAGAAGATGTAAAGAATGCACAGAATCACTCTACCAAAAAGAATTGGTTGACACTGAAAAATTTCAGCAAATACCATATGGACAAGAGCCAATGATAATGAAGGAAGAAATCTAAGCTGTACTGAAGGAACTGGAGAGAGAGAGAGAGGAGAAGAAAAAAAAAAGACCCCAGGAATTAATGGAATGCCAATTGACATGTTTCAATAGCAAGTGTAGCCCAGATTTGCTCACCAGCCTATGCTAGGAAATTTGGAGGACAGCTGCTTTGCCAACTAACTGGAAGAGATCCATTTTTTCCCATTTCCAAGAAGGACAATCCAATAGGGTGTGAAAATTGTTGAATAATAATATCATATCCAACCATAATATCACTGAAAATTATCCAAAAACTGCTAGAAAGTACATTAAGAAGAAAACTTCAGAATTTTAAGCGAGGCCTAGAAGAGGTTGTGGCACCAGGGATATCATTGCTGATGCCAGATGCATTCTGGCTGAAAGCAACATTACCTGAAAAATGTCTTGTCTGTGCTTTATTTACTCTGCAAAGGCAGAGGATTATAACAAACTTTGGCTAATCTTGAAAAGAATGGGAATCCCAGACACTTGATTGTGCTCATGCAATCAAGAAATGATGAGGAATGTCACATCAGGAATGGATAAAAGCTAATCAACAATTTGCAATATGCAGGTGACACACCATTGCTGGCCAAAAATTACGAGGACCTGAAACACTTGATAAAACACTTGTAAAATCTATACCTAAACCAAGACCAAGAAGCTGTTGTCCAAATGAAGCAAGGAAACACTGTGTTAAAATCAGAATTGTATCCTTTCCCTATACCTTTTCAGTCTTTATGCCGAGCAAATTGTGTGTGTCTACACACACATGAATTATGGCTAATCTTGAGAAGAATGGGAATCTCAGAACACGTGATTATACTCATGCAAAACCTTTACGCAGACCAGTAAGTAGTCCACAGAACAGAGACAGGACACACTTTCTGTGTCAAAATCAGGAAAGCAGTGTATGAGGAATGCATACTAACCTTTTCAGTCTTTATATGTGAAACAAATCGTTCAGGAGTCCTGGCTTTATGACGAGGGATGTGACATCAGGATTGGAGAAAGTCTAATCAACAACTTGCGATATGCAGATGACACATTGCTTGCCAAAACGGAGGACTTGAAATGCTTGCTACAAAAAGTCAGACTGTAGTCTTCAATATGGCTTGAAGCTCAACGTTAAGCAAACAAAAATTCTCATCACTGGGCCAGTTGGCAACACCATAATAGATGGAGAAGAGATTAAGGTTGTTAACAATTACAGCTTGATCATCTCCATAATCAGCACTCTTGGCCCCAGCAGTCAAGAAATCAAAAGACGAATTGCATTAGATAAGTCTGCTGTCAGGGTCCTCTCCAAAGTGCTAAAGAGTAATGATGTCAGTCCAGAGGCTCTTTTGTGCCTGACCCAGGCCATGGTCTCTACAATTACTTGCTATGCATCAGAGAGCTGTACAATGACCAAAGATCACAGAAGAATTGATGCCTTTGAGCTGTGGTGCTGGAGAAGAGTATTAAACATACCATGGACTGTCAAGAGAACGAATTGGTCTGTCTTGAGAGGGTGAAACCGGGTTGATCCTTGGCAGCAAGGATTTCTGTCTCACCAGTCCTTGGAGAAGGACACATCATTGTTGGAAGGGTAGAGGGACAGCACAGGAGAAAAAGGAAGACCTCAGATGAGATGGGTTGACACAGTATCTATCTAGGAGAAATGGGGGTAGGTGCTATTGTACGTAGGGTTGGGTTGCATGTGTAGCAGTTGAGTTGCTAGTTGATGGCATATAACAACAACAGTTTATCTATCTATCTATCTATCTATCTATCTATCATCTATCTATCTATCTATCTATCTATCTATCTATCTATCTATCTATCTAAAATTAACCTAACTAATAGTTTGATATTTTGAATAATTTTAATTAGTTTCCATAATAACTTCTGAATCCAAGTAAAAGATGTGTCCATTTCTTAGCAGACATTCTGGGCCTAGGGATGATTTGAGTTTTTTCTTTAAATCTCACTGCTACTAATTTGGATCACAGCGCATACTACTTTTAAAGTGGTTGATTTTCTTAGTTTCTTGGAGTCAGTTTCTTAATTTACAGAACTAGGTACTAGTTCTTTTTTAAAAATTTTTTGTTTATTCTGGTTTACTTACAAAATTTGTTTACATTGTTTTTCATACCAGATCTTTCCCATTTCCTTTACCCACTTCTCCCTCCACCCATCAAATTGTGTGACCCTATTATTAACAACCCTTTCCCCCCATCCATCCTCACCACTCTACTCCCACCCTCCCCCTCTTGGGTCCTCAGGCATGTTATACAGTATTTTTCCTTATGGAACTGAGTTAGTTCACTTAGCATGCTCTCCAGTCCCTCCCAAATTAGGTAGCAATTGGTAAAATCATTGCTCCTGCATACTGTGCAGTATTCCATAATGTGAATGTACCATAATTTCTTAATTTGTTTGGTTGTGATTGGACATTTGGGCTGTTTCCATGTTCTTGTGATCCTGAATAACTCTGCTGTCAACATTGGTGTACAAGTCTTCATTTGTACCTCATAGAACTAGGTACTAGTTCTTAACTTACACATTATTGTAAAGAACTTCTGCATGCTAACAATGATAGCCCCTATCTTAGGTGATCTCATTTACTCTGGGATGGATGTAAAGGATAGGAAAGAAAGAACTGTGAGGGAGGCCCTCCTTCTTACATTGTCATTATGTTTGCACAATATTTTAGATTGTATTTTAGGTTGATAATTTAGTTCTGACATTAAAATGGACACACATTAGGAATCTCATGTTTATTTTTTACTGGTAAGTGAAAAATTGGGAATAGAAAATTACTAATTTGTAATAGTTTTAGGTTTATGTATGACAAATAAATATATTTGCATTTTCAGTTTCCTTTTTAAGGAGCTCTCTGTGTTTTTAGAATCAACTTTGGAAATGTAAAAATTTTAATTGCTTAATGAAATCTATGAACTACTTAGAAATATTGCAGATAGGCATTTATGTGGTGGTCCATTGTGTTTTGTAAAGACATGTCATTGGGATAGATGTGTACACCAAGTTCATATGTAGAGTGAATCAGGTATGTGTTTGAACTTGCTCTAGGCCATGTTCTTGCCTAAAATTAGAAAACCTGTTTAGAAAAATTCCCCTTATTCTTGTGCCAATTTCTCAAGAAACCAAAAGCTTTCATCATCATAATGTTCACCTCCCTTTTTCATCTACAAAAGAATAAACTAAAGTTATGTGTTAAATTGTGATAGTAGCATCTCTAGGCTGCATGAATCTGTTGAATAGTTCATAAGAGTATTATTTGATGGTATTCCCTGATAGCCTTACCTGTACATGCAGTCCATTGATAAAATTATCTCAAGTGCCTTTTGGTCAGTTTGAAAAGACCTTTCGAAACCCACTTCATTGCAGTCAAATTAGAAACAACTAACAACTGATCCTCCACTGGGTTTTCGAAGTCTATAAATTGCACAGAAGATTGCCCATCTTTCTCACATAGAGCTGCTGGAAGATTCAAACAATGAAATGAAGAACCATTGAAAAGTTTTCTTAACATTTTCATACAATTATTTAAAAATGTTTATATAATATTCAGAAACTTATAGCTATAGACAGCACAAAGTAAAGCCAGTAAGTGGTATTATAATAAGTGTACAAAAGAACATTTAACCCATAACTGTTTTATAATTTATGATAAGTAGCTAGGCAAATTTCCAAGTAAAAGTGCACTTACTTCTTAAGAGAAAGATAAATCAACTATTTTGTTGTTTCCTTTAGCTAGTTAGAAACGTTAAATTAAATTTTTCTTTGTGCTCTTTCCCTTGGACTCAGAAGTAGTAGCAGTGTTCTATTAGGAATAGATGGGATTTGTGTTCTTATACCCTTTTCCCCTTAAAAAAAATCAGGGTGGTCTTAGAAGTCTGTCTTCTATTCTGGCATGTCCCTTTTTATAACTCTTTTGAATTTTCTGTTTAAAAACTGACATTCCATTAGCTTTTCTTTGGCCTAATGCCTAGGTTGCATATTGAGGCAGCAAATTAGGAATGTTAAGACATTCCCTCAAAGTAAAATGTTTGTTATTAAAGTAGGACTGATGTGACATTTAGAATTAGAGCTTCTTAACTTGTCTAAATGACATTTAGTGATCTTTTCCTTTTTTCTTTTCTTTTACTATTTTTTTAAAAGAAAAGGAAAGAAATGAAAGATATGCCCAGAAGCTGAAGTCAAGTTGGTTCACCAAACTGTTAAATGTCAAATATACTTTATTGATAACGTATCTTTTGTCTCTTTTTTTCAGGAGCTAATTTTGTTACTCGAAAAATTAGTCGATCTGTTGCAAAGATTTACCTTGGACAACTGGAATGCTTCAGTTTGGGAAATCTGGATGCCAAACGAGATTGGGGTCATGCCAAGGATTATGTCAAGGTAGGGGATTGAATTATTATCTTTTTTAAAAATGCCTGTGTGGGTTAGTGTTGTAAATACCAGACTTCTGGTAGACAGGTTGGCCTGTTGGGCAGCATTTATATTTTTGATAATACAAGTGTCCTTTAAAAAAAAATCTTTATTGTGATGTTAACAAAAGTTTATTGAAAAATTGGATTTTTCATTCATCCATTGTTGCACATTTTCTTCTCTACCCCCCCGTTCACTTTTTTATTAAAAAAAAAATTTCTTCATTGTTGCATAATTTCCTTCCTCACCCCTACGCTTCCCCCCAATCCACTTTGCTATGCACCACTTAATCTGGACTGATGGCATACACATGATTCTTAATCATATATTCTTTCTTCAGTTCTTTCCTTCATCTGTTCCAATGCAGTGTTCATTATTTATCCCCTCTTTTCTTAGTTTGACCCCAACCCACATCTCAGTCTTGTTTTATAATAGTGATGTTGTGCAGTATTTATCCTTGTGTGAATGAGATATTTCACTCAGCATAATATACTCCAGGGTCACCCATGTTGCTTAATATTTTATGTGTTCCTTTTTTTCAGTTCTACATAATATTCCATTGTATGACTAACCCATAGTTTTTCTATCCATTCCATTTTTGATGGCACTTGGGTTGCTTCCATCTCTTTGCTACTGTGAATAAGACAGCAGGAAACATGGGTGTTCATACATCTGTGTGGCTGGAAGCTCTAGTTTCTTTAGGATATATTCTCATTAGTTGAATTGCTGAGTCAACTAGTATTTGTATTTCCACTTTTTTGAGAAAGTGCCAGACTGCCTTCCATAATTGTTTGTATCATTTTACACTCCCACTAAAAGTGAATAAGGATTCCAATTTCTCCACTACCTCAGTAGCATTTGTTGTTTGCTGCTCTGTTGAATTTTGCTATTATTACAAAATCCATAATATATTATTATGGAGTGAGATGATATCTCATACCTGTTTTGATTCGATCTCTCTTAGAGCTAGGGATTTTGAACATTTCTTCATGTGTTTATTTGCCATCTGAATATCTTCTTTGGTGAAGTGTCTGTTCTTATCTGGTGCCCATTTTGTGATTAGGTTGTTTATTTTTTTTCTTGTTGAGGTATTGGAGTACTCTAGAAATTTTAGATATGAGTCCCTTATCAGATATGCCATTACCAAATACCTTTTTCCTAGTCTTTGGCTTTCCTTTTTACCCAGATGGAGAAATTTTTTGATGTGCATAAGGATTTGATTCTCAGAAGGTGTCATTCATCTTATTCTTTTCTGGTTGTAGGGTTTTCAAGTGTATTTTAAACATATATTGCTCTTAGCTGAAGGCTCAAAGGCATTTTTACATAATAATGAGTCAAACTTCTGTCAGCTGAGTGGGTCTGGAGAAAGCCCCTGTCAACATTCTATTGCCAGTGCATAGGATAACACTACTTCTTAGTGCAGTTTGGTGCAAAGACATTAAAAAAATCTTTCCCAGTGAAGGCATTTCTAAGATTGCTTGACAAGGTGGCGTCAGTACAGCAGGCCCAGAAGCAAAAATATTCATGTGAGCATTATGATTTTGTGGTCTTCGATTAAGAAAGTGTCATCTTCAGATTCCACATGAGAGAATTACACAAAAACAAAGTTCAATCATTCAGACTGTCAATCAAGGCTTGATTTATTCCACAATACAAGTGGTTGTTGAGTACTAATGATTCCCTTGGGGTCTAACAGTAACACAAGTTGATGATGTAAGGACACATTTTACCATTCTCATTTATGTGTTCTGAAAGAGTAACCTAAATTTCTTGAATTCTTAAAAGGTATTTATACTCTTTTCCCAGTAAGAATTCAGTTTGTTAATTTCCATCCTAAGAAATAGTACTAATTCCTTACCTTTCTAAATGTAGTAAAATGAGGTTACTTTAGTTACTTATGACTAAAAGTAAACTTAACTAAAATTAAAAGCCAGCAGCCATAAAAATACAAAAAGAGCCTTATATGTTGAAAGCACACTCACATCTCAGCAGGACTGTCAGCCCTGGAGGTCATAAGAGGCCTCCCAGTGTCTGCAGAATTGAACTTTCAGGTACAGGGACAGTAGCTGGTAGACATCCTCACACTCAGAACCACTGTAAAGGTGATTGTTACACTCAGTCAGTGATGCTTTTTCCTTCGACATTTCCTCAGTGGAGAGTCTTTTTCCTTTTTGGTAGAAACCAGGAGTGGGGAACCAGTAAAACACTGTCGTCAAAAGTTTGCTCCTAGCTTTAAAGGAGTTCTACCTCCATTTACCCATTTGTGGAAGGGACATAATAACAGCCCTGTGAAAAATGAGCATGCATGATTAGAATCTACCTCCAACTCATAAACGCTCTGCAACAATTTACAAGTCATTTCCTACTGCTGACGCATGTTCATTCACGTCCATTATTATGTCCAAGATCAAAATGCTTTAAATGGTGTAGGCAGAATTGCTTTTGGGTTTTGTATTTAACAGTTCAACTTGAAATAAAGGAATACTATGAAACTATGTTAAATAATATTGCACTTTAGAATAAACAAGTGATATACAGTTGGTTTTTTTCTGAACATTTTCATAATGTATATTCTGAAATATGCAAAATAGTTATTTGAATTTTAAAGTACACAGCCATACACCCACCACTATACTATAATTAACATCTATTATTACTACAGTTTGAAGGGGAAAAAAGTATTCTTGTAGTGCTAATAGATAACAGCTATAAATCCCCAGCTACATAAAAACAAGTTATCTAGAAGTGTTTGTATTTTTTAACAACAAAAACAAAAAATTTATTGTTGTGTAGAATATACACAGCAAAACATACACTAATTCAGTGTTTTCTTTGTATGCAATTTAGTGACACTGATTTTATTCTTGAAGTTAAACAGCCATGTTTATCCTCCTTTTCTGAGTTATATTTCCCCCATTATAATAAACTATCTTTTATTTTTTAAAAAAATTTATTTTATGCTGGTTTGCTTACAAAGTTTGTATCCATTTTTTTTTACACTGGATCTTTCCCATTTCCTTTGCCTACCCCTCTCTTTACCTATTAAATTGTGTGACCTTGTGCCCATCCTCATGCCTCTGCTCCTACTCTCCCCACCTTAGATCCTCATACACATTTTGCTAGTTGCCTATTTCTACAATAACGGTCTTGAAGTGTGTGCATTTTCATAGGCTATAGTTAGTCAGCATTCCAAACTTTTGAAGATATGTTCACTTTCTTAAATATTGACCTGAACTTCTACAATCTTTTCACCTGTATGCCTCACTCCATACTTTTTTTTTTTTTTCTTACTCCCGACTTTAAAGCAAGAGAAAAACATACCTAGTATTTCAGCCAGAAGGGGCCAGCTCTTGGAAAAAGACACCATGCTAAGAAAGGTGGACAGTCAGCAAAAGAGAGGAAGAGCCTAAAGGAGAGGATTGACACAGTGACTATAACAATGTGCTTGAGCATGACAGATTGTGAGGATGGTGCAGGAGAGAGGAAGGTTCAGCTCTGTTGTTCGTAAGGTCACTATGAGTTGTAGTTGACTGAAAGACATCTAGTAGTAGCAAGCCTTTAGAGGTCTGTGCTATGTTCCAGCAGTGTATCTGACATTGTTGGTGGACAACATGAAGGGGAGAACCTTTACCTTTAGAGATGCCATGGTTCAAAAGTTTTTGAGCAGTTGTCATGTGCCCATGAGAGCCTGGACACTGGGGCAATGTTCTAGCAAAAAGCCCGAGAAATGCTAGATTTCAAAGAGTTAAGACGAATATTTTATTGCAAGACTTCCCTAAACTGATGAGGTGTGCCTGTGCATTACATCTTGGTAGGATGGACATAGTGTTTTCCAAGATACAAACTTAAATCTTAAAAATAAGTATTTGTCTAGAGGGATGGAGCTCATACTTTGTGTACTCATTTTTGTTAGCAAAGTCCCATCATAGTCTCACCATGGTCAAACCTTGATAAGAGTAGCTGAAACTCAACTTTAGCATGAACATGCATAAAGATAAACTAATTAGTAGAGGTTAGGCCACAAGAAGCTTGTGCTTAAATTTTGACCCTCACAAGAGAATCACTTTGCTCTGTGGAGATATGGTTCAGGGAGTGACCTAATTTGATCTCTCCTTGGATGGGGCAGAAAAGTAATTTACAGTGTGACAGGTGGTTTGTGTCCACAACTGCCCTCAAGAGTTCTTCTGATACAGAGGCAAGTCCAGCACTCAGTCAAGTTGCTCAAGAAGCAGTTTTTTTGTTTTACATGAATGTTAACATCATATTTCACTATCACCTATCAGGGATTTTTTGTGAGTGAAGTCAGTAATTGTAATACCTTTGTAAATAAAATAATAATCATTTGCAAATGATGAGATTTATGTTGTGAATCATTAAAATGTTCTCTTACATAGAGGGAACCCAGGTGTAGTCTGTAGGGTGTTGAAGTTGGAATCTACTAACTGCTCTTCAGAAGAGAGAAGGACTGTCTTATCTCATATCCATTTACAGCCATGAAAACCCGGTTGAGGATTTCTCTCAGTCAGATCTGTCTTGAGAGCAGGCAATGAGGGATGTATCAGAATTAGTGTGATGGCCATGGATTTGCTTTTGTACACATTATGTGATATAGTATCCGCAACAGTACTGAAAGGTAGACATTTTGTTCTCACTTTATGGACGAAGGAACTTAGAAAGAGAGCTTCAGCGCCATTTGCCCAGAGACACCAGTGCTGGCATTGTTGTTAGGTACAGTTGAGTCGACTATGACTCACAGCCACCCTATGACCAACAGATCTGAACCTTGCCTTAGCCTGAACATTCCTCATGACTTCCATTGTTACAGTCACTCTGCCATCTTGGAAAAAGATTTCACAATGAGAGGGACCAATAGAGGTGACTTTCAGCCAGGCCTGACTCCTCGGCATACTCAAGCCAGGAATTCTGTTCTAATGTGGGGAATATGGAATATGCACATTATCAGTGGGACC